GGGGGGCAAGGGGCAAAACTTATTATGGTTTATAATGGCAAATGATACTTTGAATATTACATGTTAATAACTTGATTGGAATTATAACCCTGACAGTATGATACTTTTCAAAATTTTGAGCCAGCCCTACTCCCAAGGGCTGTAGGGTGGGGCCCAAAGGAGTCAGTGTGCTAAAATTTCTTCATTTTTCCTTGTTAAGAATCAGAGGTGCTTTAGTTTCAAATACTTTTTAGTCTTAAATCTGTATGCTAGATATAGAATAAGGTGGTTTTATTGTTTTTTGTCACTTTGAATAATATTTCTGTTCGTGTTAAAAACAAAATCAACTCTCTGTATACATATATCAGGTGACCGTTAAGGCCCATGGGCCTCTTGTTAATAAAATTGATTGCCATATAATTTGTTTTTCTTGAGAAAAAAAAACAGCCAACTGGAATGACTCTCAGCAACATGGCCCAAGTGATGGAACACAGTACAGACATCAAAAATTTAATTGACAAACGAATAAAAATGAATTTGATAAGATCACTATGCAAACCAAACTTTGTTAATAAAAAAAACATTGTTATTTCTGTCAAGGTATATTTATACTTTAAAATTCAATTTCTTAGCTTGTGTTTCGTCACATAAGAATCACAATCTGCTTTGTGTACATGATCTTGATGTTCAATTTTTGTGAGTCAAAGTCTAGATGTTTCTAATTTTTCCCGATGGTCCCGCAAAGTTCGAAACATCAAAGTTTGACTGTACTTGGGTCTTAGTGGCAGAGCCAAAAGGGGTCACATGTTCAGACCCAGATATGTCAGATTCAAAATATATTATCTTCATGGATGAAAATTCTCTTCAAAAGTCCTACAAGGCGATTTATCAAAATTATTAATTTCTTTTTCCCCACGTCATCCATTCCCCAACCCCCTCCCCCTTTAGCAGGGGGTAATGTTTATACAAGGAAATGACATTTTTGGGTATATTTTGTTGTTTTTCAGGGGGAAATCATTTAAAGTTAGTTGGATTTTTTATATGATTGCAGTTGAACTGTTCCCTCTTCAGGGGGTAAATTAAACTTTTTGACAGTGTTATAATATTATTAGCATTTTTACTGATATTTTATATACAAGTACATGTATTATGTATAATGTTGGTCACTCCCCAGGATCATTTAAAAAAAACAACCAATCCACTGTCAAAAAGACAAATTTGTTTATATGTACTTTTATTCTTTGTAACTTCACACTATTAAGTAACAATTGTTGGCCTTTTGTTTTCCAGAATTATTACAGCTTTCATACTTTTCAAGTCATTTCCAGACCAATTATCGGACTTATTTTAACTACAATTAAAATTTCTGAGAGTGATACAAATTGGTTAAACTGAAAGTACATCAAATTGTCAAATTTTATTTTTTTGTATTCAAAATGGCCACCATGGCCTCTGTTTGGCTGAGACAGTACTATTACTCTGTTGGAGTGATACTTAGGAAAAACACTTTAAATGAAAGTCAGACTATTCAATTTTTTATTAAAAGTGACTGCTTAATTAATCTTATTTGCTGAGACATAATAAATAGAAATTTCAGTGGTTGAGCAAGGGGTATATACCTGTGACTTACCGTCCTAGTTATTCATTCTTATCATTCTATGAAATTTGACCATGTATGATTACAGCTTCAACAGAGAGAAATAATCAGTTCGACAGTATTGTATCACCAATTGTAGCTGAGCAAACGTCAAGTCAACCACGCCGTAACAACTACACTGACATGTCTGGCTTGCCTTTGTCAACCATCGAAAGTGAGGAAAGCATGGTCGAAAAGTTCCTTCACAAATTAGATTCTACACTCCGTGATGAGGTGCATTCTAGTTTGTCTAAATGCTCTGTAATAAAACCTGGACTTCGCTGTATGCAAAAAGGTACTCCCTCATACAGATTTTATTGATCTTAGATATTTCCCATTTTGATATTCTCATGTGACCCTTTAAAAAAATAATTCATATAGCCCTATACAAGCACTCATTAATTTTATTCAAGCTGCTTCCCAGGTTTCTTAATTTGAATTGAGCTCATCTCTCTACATTAGGCTGTATAAAACAAATTCATTTAATTTAATCTCAAGCTGAACTCTTGCTGTGGACATAAGTAGGATGTCTTCAGGTGACTTTGTATGCACCATCCCCTCACACCCTTACAATGGTGGACACAATGTCGCTCTGGATTTATTGCCATATATGATATTAGGGTCATTCCATAGAGACATCTGCCAATTATCATAGTCTTCTTCACTAATAAAACATTCTGCCTTTCTTTTATACATTTAGAAGCAGATAAATTTGTATCCCAAGATTTAATTTAAATAATTGCTTTTTCCCAGGAGCTGAGATTCGAATGATTGATGGTAAATTTCAGGAGGGCCCATTTATTGGTCAGAATGCCACAATCAAAACACTTGTCGCAGAATTCAAAGACTTTGGTGAGGACAAAAAAAAATGAATATTGATCAATCAAGAATTAATTATATAAAATACATGTGCACAATGTCTTGAAATATTAGTTGCCCTGTCTGGGTCAAAGAAGAAGTAGCATTATAAATATATCTGCCTAATCATCTTCTTTTAAACATTATTATTTTATTATTTTTTAATTCTCTTTTAATCAGAACTTGCTTTTTTCATGTGATATAATTTCAAAATGAAAATTCTATTCAATTATATAAGGTCAGTCGTCAGGATTCTTATTGCCATCTATTTAACTTTTTGGAGATTTTGATATCATTTTCCATACAAGATATTAACAATGCAAAAAATGATCATAATCATGTTGAATACAATGTAAGTAAATAAATTTGTTTAGGGCAGTTGTAAGTTGTTCACATCAGGGTATCATAGAATGTTTTATATTTTCACTAGGTACAGACCTCTTGCCAAGGTGGATAGGCACAGGAATAGCGGAGACATTACGATTCCGAGATTGTCACCAAGATAACTTACATCGGAGCTGTGGCATAACCGTTGATAAAAGTCGTTTTTATGTCCTTTATCCTGCCACCCAGAGAATCCTGAAGGAACATTTGCGAGACAGGAAACAGGTATGATAGGAATAACTGCTGTTAAGAGAAACGATACATTACTTTGTATGTTAACCTTTTACTTTTTTGACTGCTCCAAATCTACTAAACCAATTTCAATGAAATTTTGCAGGAAGGTTCAATAGTCAAAGGCGAACCAAAATTGTGAATTGTACAGATCTAACCACCAAGCTGGGGCGTGAAGGGTGGGGTCAAATTGACAAAAGTTTCAACAATTTACTTCCTCAGACCCAGATATGCTGGAATCAAATACACATCATGAGTGAAAAGGTCATCAGGTGTCTTACCAAAGGTGTCTTACCATCAGGTGTCTTACCATCAGGTGTCTTACCAAAGGTGTCTTATCATCAGGTGTCTTACCAAAGGTGTCTTACCAAAGGTGTCTTACCATCAGATGTTTTACCAAAGGTGTCTTACCAAAGGTGTCTTACCAAAGGTGTCTTACCATCAGTTGTCTTACCAAAGGTGTCTTACCATCAGATGATTTACCAAAGGTGTCTTACCATCAGGTGTCTTATCATCAGGTGGTTTACCAAAGGTGTGAACTTCATTAACCACCAGCATCCTGTTTTTGAGTTCAACAACATTTGCACAAGAATTTCCCTACGTATACTTTCAAGGTCACAGGGGTCAAATAACTGTAAACCTTCAACTGCTTCTGAATATCCAATCAACCAAACTTCACAATATTGGCCAACAACTCTATGTAACAAAACAAACAGGTGAGCGATACAGGCCCTTCTGGGCCCCTTGTTTAGCTCACCTGGCACTATGGTGTGTTGTCCGCCATCTTCAAACTTTTTCTTTGAAGGACTTCTTCTTAAGAACTAGAGGACCTAGGGCCATGATATTTGGCCTGTAGGTACCTGGGACAGAGTACTATAAAGTTTCCTCAAATAAATTACCTTGATGTACTTTCAAGGTCACAGGGGTCAAATATGTAAAAAAAAAAAAAAAAAACCTTCTTTTGAATAGCCAGGAGACCCAGAGTAGTAATACTTGGCCAGTAGGTACCTAGCATGAAGTGCAAATAAATAACTTTGACCTACTTTCAAGATCACAATTACAAGGGTCAAATGTGTTTAAATCAGGGCTGACACAGTTCAGCACATGCTGTGCGACTGCAAGCTATTGCATTTGTCGAAGTTGTCCCCTATTACCTTGAAAGGGGGTCAAGGTCATTTCAATGAGGACACTTTATAGCATTCCATCCCAAGTACCTAGCTACTGGCCAATATTATGGCCCTTGGCCTTAGGGAACTTGAGAAGAAGATTGTTAAAGTGCTGTTGACCTTTGACCCCCCACTAGCACTTAAAGTTGACCCTTGATCTCATTACTGTAATTGAGGAAAAGATTTGCACTGCTGATCTACAAAACATACAAAGTATCATGTTCAAATGTTTTTTAGCTCACCTGGCACGAAGTGCCAAGTGAGCTTATTTATGCCGTGGCGCGTCGTCCGTCATCCGTCCGTCGCCCGTCCGTCCTCGTCCGTCAACTTTTCCTTTAAACAACCTCTTCTGAAGAACGGACAGGCCTAGAGTCATGATATTTGGCTGAAAGCTTCGTTGGTAGGAGCCCTACAAAGTTTGAGAACGAAAATGACCTTGACCTGTTTTCAAGGTCACAGGGGTCAAATATGTCAAAAACTTCAAACGACTTCTTCTAAAGAACTAAAAGGTATAGAATCTTCATATTTGGCTGATGGCTTCCTGGGATAGAGCCCAACAAAGTTTGAGAATGAAAATGACCTTGACCTACTTTCAAGGTCACAGGGGTCAAATGTGTCAAACACTTCAAACGACTTCTTCTGAAGAACTGAAAGGTATAGAATCTTTATATTTGGCTGGTGGCTTCCTGGGATAGAGACCAACAAAGTTTGAGAATGAAAATTAGTTTGACCTACTTTCAAGGTCACAGGGGTCAAATATGTCAAAAACTTCAAACGACTTCTTCTGAAGAATTAAAAGGTATAGAATCTTCATATTTGGCTGATGGCTTCCTTGGATGGAGCCCAACAAAGTTTGAGAATGAAAATTACCTTGACCTTCTTTCAAGGTCACAGGGGTCAAATGTGTCAAACACTTCAAACGACTTCTTCTGAAGAACTGAAAGGTATATAATCTTTATATTTGGCTGGTGGCTTCCTGGGATAGAGCCCAACAAAGTTTGAGAATGAAAACTAGTTTGACCTACTTTCAAGGTCACAGGGGTCATATATGTCAAAAGCTTCAAATGACTTCTTCTGAAGAACTGAAAGGTATAGAATCTTTATTTTTGATTGATGGCTTCCTTGGATAGAGCCCGACAAAGTTTGAGAATGAAAATGACCTTGACCTTCTTTCAAGGTCACAGGAGTCAAATGTGTCAGACACTTCAAACGACTTCTTCTGAAGAACTGAAAGGTATATAATCTCTATATTTGGCTTGTAGCTTCCTAGGAAAGAGCCGAACAAAGTTTGAGAATGAAAATGACCTTGACCTTCTTTTAAGGTCACATGAGGCAGATATGTCAAACACTTTAAACGACTTCTTCTGAAGAACTGGTAGTTATAAAATCTTAATATTTGGCAGGTGGCTTCCTGGGAAAGAGCCAAACAAAGTTTGCGAATGAAAATGACCTTGACCTACTTTCAAGGTCACAGCGTTCAAATATGTCAAACAGTTCAAACAGCTTCTTCTGAAGAATTAAAAGGCATAAAATTATAATATTTGGCTGGTGACTTCCCGGGATAGAGCTCACCAAAGTTTGCAAATGAAAATGACCTCAACCTACTTTAGAGGTCACAGAGGTCAACAACATTTTAATGGATTTGTTCTTGAGAACTAAAAGGAATGGATTCATAAGATTTGGCTGGTAGCTTTTTGGAATAGAGCTAACCAATTTGAGAAGGAAAATGACATTGACCTACTTACAAGATCACAGGGAAAAGTATGTCAAGCAACTTCTGAAGAAGAATCAAAAAGCATAGAATCTTATAATAATATTTTGCTGGTAGTTTCAACAGATGGAGCCAACAAAGTTTGCGAGGGATTTTTTTTTAGTGCAATATAATATTTAATGAGAATATTTTGCTATGACTGCTTAAATATTCAGGTGAGCGATACAGGCCCTCTTGGGCCTCTTGTTTAGAATATTGTTGTTTGAAGTCTTAAACATATTTGACCCCTGTGACCTTGAAACTAGGCCAAGGTCATTTTGATAAAAAAAACTTAATAGCACTTCATCCCAGATACTAGTCTGAATTATTCTGACGTTTTATCAACTTTTTAGCTCACCTGGTCCGAAGGGGCCAAAAAGGGGTAATTTGGCTATATTTCTACAAACGCCTTCTTCTGTAGAACTATGTACTGGATATCGATCATATTTAACCAAAAGCATTCATGGGATGCAGGGATTCAAAATTGTACAAATGGTGGGGCTGACCTCCCAGGGGGCTGAGGGGCGGGGCCAAAAAGGGTTACTTGGCTATATTGCTTTAAGCGACTTCTTCTCTGGAACTAAGTGATGGATATCAACCATATTAGACTGGAAGCATCCCTAGGTGGTGGGAATTCAAAATTGTACAAATGGTGGGGCTGAACATGACCCCCAGAGGGCCGAGGGCGGGGCCAAAAGGGGGCAATTTGGCTAGATTGCTATAAACGACCTCTTCTGTAGAACTATGCACTGGATACCGATCATATTTGGTTGGAAGCATTCATGGGAGGCAGGGATTCAAAATTGTATAAATGGTGGGGCTGACCCCCCAGGCTAAGGGGCGGGCCAAAAAAAGTATATTGCCTGGAAATGGTTGAGATCCCCACCATATAATTATAACCACATATACAATTGCTGAGTATAAAGAGAAGAATGCACATTTGCTTCCAGGATGGCCCTAAGATCTGGCCCTACCCTTGGAAACATAGTCCTTGGGCCATAAATTAAAAATGGTTGAGATCCCCACCCCAAAACTATATATACAAATGCTGGGCATAAAGAGACGAATGCAGTCACGATATTAGAATAGACCCTGGGGTATGACCAATCCCCTAGGGACCTAGTTTCTAACTCACAGCTTGGAAACAGTTGAGATCCCCGACCTATAACCATATAGACAATTGCTGAGTATAAAGAGATAAATGCACATATGCTTCCAGGATGGCCTTGGGGACTGCCCAGCCCTTGGTCATAACTTCGAAATGGTTAAGATCCCCACCCCAAAACTATATATACAATTGATGGGCATAAAGAGACAAATGCAGTCATGATATAAGAATTGACCCCAGGGTTTACCGTACCCTTGCAGACTTAACCCCTGGGTCATAACTTTGAAACGGTTAATATCCCCACCCCAAAACTATATATACAAATGCTGGGCAAAAAGAGACGAATGCAGTCATGATATTAGAATTGATCCTGGGGTCTGGCCACAACCGTAGGGACCTAGTTTCTGAGTCACAGATTGGAAACAGTTGAGATCCCCACCCCATAACCATATATAAAATTGCTGGGCATGAAAAATTGAATACAGATATATATGCTACAAGGATTGGCCTTGGGGTCTGGCATATTCCCATGGATCTCATTTGGAGAATATTCTGCCATGATTGCTTAGATATCCAGGTGAGCGATACAGGCCCTATGTGCCTCTTGTTTCATATCGGTCTGTCGTCGATTAACGTCAGAACTCTGGCCCTCTATAATATGCGGGAAATGTGCGCCCCGCGCCCGGAGCGCACTTCAAACTGATATTTTAGAAACAAATCGTCACTTTCACACACATGTCACACATGGATCGAAAGATATATTCTTTATGCACTAGGTGATATCAATAACATGTTTCAAAGATCATTACGAAAAGTATTTTCCAACGTTTTCTATACCAACCCATGTTTTTAAAGGAAATTAGGCCATGGGCAATGTCACATGACTTGATGAGATCTCGCGTTACCGAAGGTATTTCCCAACGTTATGACGTAGGCCTGCGAGATTTTAGTCATGTGGCATTAGAAGGCAGGGCTATCAAAAAAAACCACCAGAGTAAGTTTGAAAAAATATGGTTTTAGTGATTGTATTGGTTGTTTGAGGCATGTTATGTATGTTCATCTTGGGCACAAAGAATAGATCTTTTGGTCCATGTGCGACATGTGTGTGAAAGTGATGATTTGTTTCTAAAATATCAGTTTGAAGTGCGCCTCGGGCGCGGGTCGCATATTTCCCGCATATTATAGAGGGCCGTAGTTGTGACGTTAATCACAACAGACCAATATGAAAAAAGTTGATAAAACGTCAGAATAATTTGGACTACCCAGATACCTACTGGCCAAATATCATGACCCTGGGCCTTATGGAACTTGAGAAGAAGATTATTAAAGCTTTTAACCCATGTTGACGTTTCACCCTCGACTAGCACTTAAAGTTGACCTTTGACCTCATTACTGTAATAAAGAAAAATATTTGCATTGCTGGTCTACATGTACATAACATACACCATACTTCCCTTCGATCTACGACCTTCTCTCGGCCCAAAGTCAATCCCTATCACAATCCGCCATTCCAGTCACACCCTTAACTGTAATGCCCATGTCAGAGTAGATATTTCCCTATATGACACTAGTATGTTTCTCTACATGTATCCATTAAGTATCCTCTCCCTACCCACTATACTCATATCCTTACTAATGTTACATTACTCTTAAATAAATAAATATACGTTGAAAAGCAGATAGATACAAGGAGAAAGCAGCATTGTGGTTTTATACAAAAGCTGACATTTGTGTTGTGAAACAGAAGTCCAGTGTAAAGGAGCATATAGAATGGACTCACATGAAAGGACGACAAAAATATATGACCAAGCACCGCAAAGTACTAACTCTAATCACTAACACACAGTCCGTCAGATGGGACTTAAAATGGTGTCCTGTGTGAGACTGTCCACATCTCACACAGAAGACCCCTCTGAGCTAACTAGTATTGTCGAGGAAGAGTAGGCGTGATAACGCCGACTCAGAGGTTAGGGTATTTTAGACTTATAATAAGGGTTGGGTGTATTTATTAGAATTTTAGACGGGCTTTCAAAAATTAGATTTAATCAATTTCATCTTAGCTAGGGTTAAACCGACTTGGCTGGTTTCAGGGTATTCCTTGGGGTGCCATCCGTCCGCTCTTCACTAAAACCTCGTCCAACATCGTGATGCGCTACAGATCAACGTTAGGTTACCATTTTCGGCCCTGCAGGAAGTCTTCATGCAAAATTATACTGTAGGTCTATGGGACTGATGACTTCTATCTCCTCCACCTCTACCCTCTCCTCTTCTCTCCTTTTCTCTGCATACTTTGTCCCTTCTATTTTACTTTCCTATCTGTTCTCGTCTCCTGAAAGGCCGAAAGGCCTAGTAGCAGTCATAAAACCCTCAAAATCAAATCAAAATCAATAACTGTCACAGATTGACTAGCCATTTCTGAGTCACAACCTGTAAACGATGGCGTGATAAGGGGACGTGGGGAGAACGGAACATTTTTCGACACAGTGACAGACTATGTTTGGATTTCTTGACCTGGACACGATGGTATAACGTCGAAACGATATCGTGCCTCTGTAGCGATTTTGCCTGAAACTAATTCAATTTCATAGCGATCAAATCTGAAAGTATCATCTTCTTTTGATATTGCTTTAATCACCCCCGTTTCCCCATCGCATAACCTCACAAAGTCACCAACATTTGCCTGAAGCGCCCGTCTTCATGCAAAGCAGCCATGTTGACAGCAGACGAAGTAAACAAAACAGCACGTGTGTGAAAAAGGTAGTCCCAGTCAAAGTTCATCATCTTGAACAATCAAAACTCTGGAAGGTCATATACCATGTGTGGTGTATAACTCATATTTATCCATGTTTATACAGTGTATTGTTATAGAAAAATAAATACACCATGGCTCAAAGTGTTTAAAGTCTGGGAAAAGATCTTAATCTTTGGTGATTCAACCAAATAGTATGGTAAAGCAGCCTTATCAAACATTCGTTCAGCCAGCCAGGCATCTGTATATAGGGGGATAGCAGCTGATACCACCCTACCGCCGGCAAAGTGACCGTTCTAGCGATTCTTTGTCCAGAATGGTAATTCAGACCTAATATTGTCCATCTTGCATTGTTCAGTGTCTGGCTAGCTGGAGGTCATCTTTCAGTCACCATTCATCCTCTAATCAGTCAAACAAAAAGTGGGATATTTGCCTGTAATTATAATTGAAGCTTCCTGAAGTGGAGCTCAATAGAATCTGTGAATGAAAATGATTTTGACCAACTTTAAAGGTCACAGGGGTCAAATACGTCACACTTAAAATTACTTCTTCTGAAGAACCGAAAGGCTTTTAAGTCATGATATTTGGCTGCAAGCTTCCTAGGATGAAGTCTGAGAGAGTTTGAAGACGAAAAATGACCTTGACCTACTTCGTAGTCCCATTGATAAAATCTGTCACAAATTTCAAACGACTTCTTCTTTAGAAACTGTAAGGCCTTGATTCACAATATTTTACAGATGATTTTCACAGATGGAGCCTAACAAATAGTTTGTGAACGAAATTGGCTTTGGACCATTATTTGAAATTTTACAGGGTCAAATGTGTCAAAAACCTTAAACAAATTCTTTCGAGGACTGAAATGTTTTGAGTTATAATATTTGGCTTGTAGCTTCTTTGGATGGAGCCTGACAAACTTTGTGAATGAAAATAACCTTGATGTACTATCTAGGTAATAGAGGTCAAATGTGTCAAAACACTTTGAACGGCTTCTTTTGAAGAACTCTAAGTGCTTGAGTTGTGGCATTTAGCAGGTAGCTTCCTGGGACATAATGCCAAACAAAGTTTGCAAGTAAAAATGACCTTGACCGTTATTCAAGTCAAAGAATCAGGGTGCTGATATTTTGGCCTGTAGCATACAGAGAAGGCTGTCAAGTTTTTAGAAGTGATTATGAATTAATTGATTCACTTTCAAGATTGCAGGGGTCAAATGTGTTTAAATCTTTAAATGACTTGTGAATAACCAAAAGTCCCAGGGTGATGATATTTGGCCAATAACATACCAAAAATGGCTTTTTTACCAATTGTTCTTGAATGAATTACAAAGGTAAAATGTGTGAAAAAAACATTCATATGACTTTGTCTCAAACGTCAAGAGGCCTAGTGTGTTAATTGGCCAGTAGCATTCTGTGGTGAAGGGTCACAGATCAAGTTACATATCAGGTTTGTTCAAGTTTGAATAACCTTCACCAATTTTGAAAGTCACAGAGATCAAATGTGTTTAAACATTTAAACAACATTTCTTTTGAATAATCAAAAGGCCGAAAGTGAGAATATTTGGCCAATAGCATATTTTGATGAAGGGCTATCAAATTTGTTTAGATGGCGAGGCCTCAAAGGGAAAATTAACCAATATTTCAAAAATCTTCTTCTCCAGACTCAGAGGTACTACAGTCAATTTCTCTGCATGGATGGAAAGATCATCAGGGGCTTTGTTGAAATTGTAATTTCAGTACCCCCGGGCCATCCGCTCTCCCTTGGGGAGGGAGTAAAGTTTACTATAGTTTATATAGGGAAATAACACTTTTAGGAAATTATACTTACTTGGTGAGGATCATCCTTGGAGGAAGATTGTATCAAGTTGTAAAATTGGGATTCCTGCCCCAACCCCAGGGGCGAGGGCGGGGCCCCAAGGGAAAATTAACCAATATTTCAAAAATCTTCTTCTCCAGACTCAGATGTACTTGACAGTCAATTTCTCTGCATAGATGGAAAGATCATCAGGGGCTTTGTTTAAATTGGAAATTTCAGTACCCCCGGGCCATCCATTCTCCTTTGCGGAGGGGGTAAAATTTACTTTAGTTTATATAGGGAAATAACACTTTTGGGTATACATTTGGCCATTTTCAGCTGGAAATTATTCAAACTTGGTTGGAATGATTATGATGCCAGATGGCAATTAAATGGTATGAGAAAACAAGACCCTGCCCAGGGGCTGGAGGATTAGGGCCCAAATGGGGATTATGGTTTAAAAATCTTCTTCATCAGACTCAGATGTTTTATTGTTCTTGGATAGAAAGGTCCTTACATGTACCTAAATTACCATTACCTAAATTGTTAATTTCATTATCCCCCAGGTCATCTGCTCTCCCTTGGGGAGAGGGTGTATTCTCAAGAGCAAAATAATTTATTTGAATAGTTTTTAAAGTTCTTATCCTTTGGTGACATGACAAGTATTGTATTTCACTTTGTTTACATGTTGTTTTCCACATTTTGTACATCTCAACAATGCAATTGAGCTACAAGTACCTATAATATAACTCAGGTGATCGCTTAAAGGCCCTTGGGCCTCGTGTTTAATAACCAAGAGACATATATTGGTAAAGACATTTAACTTACTTGGGGCCTTTTTTCATCTAAATAATAATTATTGTCCTACAATGCTAGCCATGGGGCCTCTTGCTAAAGACAAATAATTTTGGAAAATTAATTGCAGCTATCCTTTGTGCTTTGTCATGAACTTACTCAAGTCCTGGATTATGATCCTTATTAGAAATCAGGGCCTGAAATCTGATTTGTGGGATTGTATTTCTTTAAAATGATGTATGTTATAATGCCCAGGTCAGTGATATGTATGACTTTGTTTGTACAGGAGTTTACATCCTTCAGCTTGATTGAGATCTGTCAGAAGATCGCAGAGGCGATGGACTACCTATCCTCAAATAACATTATCCACCGTGATGTAGCTACTCGTAACTGTATGTAAGTCTTGTGAACAAGTATACCAAAACAATATTATATTGTTCCTTGGTCATTTAGAAATCTCATCAGTTTTTAAACTGATTTTCTTACATAACAAGTAACGCAATACTAAAAAGAGTTTTATCAGACAGGTTTTGACTCTGTACACTGTCAGACAGGTTTTATCACTGTACACTGTCAGACAGGTTTTGACTCTGACTTACTGTTATCGCTGTACACTGTCAGACAGGTTTACACTCTGACTTACTGTTATCACTGTACACTGTCAGACAGGTGTTGACTCTGACTTACTGTTATCACTGTACACTGTCAGACAGATGTTGACTCTGACTTACTGTTATCACTGTACACTGTCAGACAGGTTTACACTCTGACTTTATGTTATCACTGTACACTGTCAGACAGGTTTACACTCTGACTTACTGTTATCATTGTACACTGTCAGACACTCAGATTGATAGTCTTAAAACACTCAGATTAATAGTCTAAAACATTTAGATTAATAGTCTTAAAACACTCAGACTAATAGTGTATAAACACTCAGATATATAGTACAAATACACTCAGATTTATAGTCTAAAAACACTCATATTAATAATCTATAAGCACTCAGATTAATAGTCTAAAACACTCAGACTTATAGTCTGAATACACTCAGATTAATAGTCTTTAAGCACTCATATTAATAGTCTAAAACATTTAGATTAATAGTCTTAAAACACTCAGACTAATAGTCTATAAACACTCTGATTTATAATATAAATACACTCAGATTAATAGTCTAAAACACTAAGTTTAATAATCTTAAAACACTCAGACTTATAGTCTGAATTCACTCAGATTAATAGTCTATAAACATTCAGATTAATAGTATGAAAAAACACAGATTAATAGTTTTAAAACACTCGGATAAATAGTCTAAAAACACTCGGATTAAAAGTCTAAAAACACTCAGACTTATAGTCTATAAACACTCGGATTAATAGTCTGAAACACTCAGATTAATAGTCTAAAACACTCAGACTAATAGTTTATAAACACTCAGAATATTAGTCTATAAACACTCAGATTAAAAGTCTTAAAACACTCAGACTAATAGTGTATAAACACTCAGATATATAGTACAAATACACTCAGATTTATAGTCTAAAAACACTCGGATTAAAAGTCTAAAAACACTCAGACTTATAGTATATAAACACTCGGATTAATAGTCTGAAACACTCAGATTAATAGTGCAAAAACATTCAGATTAATAGTCTTAAAACACTCGGATAAATAGTCTATAAACTCTCAGATTAATAGTCTATAAACAATTCGACAAATAGTCTTAAACACTCAGATTAATAGTGCAAAAACATTCAGATTAATAGTCTTAAAACACTCGGATAAATAGTCTAAAACACTCAGACTAATAGTTTATAAACACTCAGAAACATAGTCTATAAACACTCAGATTAAAAGTCTTAAAACACTCAGACTAATAGTCTATAAACACTCAGAATAAAAGTCTATAAACTCTCAGATTAATAGTCTATAAACAACTCGACAAATAGTCTAAAACACTCAGATTAATAGTCTAAAACACTCAGACTAATAGTTTATAAACACTCAGAATAATAGTCTATAAACTCTCAGATTAATAGTCTATAAACAACTCGACAAATAGTCTAAAACACTCAGATTGATAGTACAAAAACATTCAGATTAATAGTCTTAAAACACTCGGATAAATAGTCTATCAGCACTCAGACTAAAAGTCTGAAACACTCAGATTAATAGTCTTAAACACTCATGTTAATAGTCTTTAAACACTCAGATTAATAGTATAAACACTGAGACTAATAGTCTAAAAACACTCAGACTAATAGTCTATAAACACTCAGACTAATAGTCTATAAACACTCAGATTAATAGTCTATAAACACTAAGACTTGTAGTATAAATACACTCAGATTTATAGTCTAGAAACACTCAGATTAATAATCCAAAAACACTCAGACTAATAGTCTAAATACACTCAGATTATTAGTCTAAAAACACTCAGACTAATAAGCTAAATACACTCATATTAATAGTATAAAAACACTCATACCAATAGTTTAAAACACTTAGATTAATAGTCTTAAAACACTCAGATTAATAGTCTAAAACATTTAGATTAATAGTCTTAAAACACTCAGACTAATAGTGTATAAACACTCAGATATATAGTATAAATACACTCAGATTTATAGTCTAAAAACACTCATATTAATAATCTATAAGCACTCAGATTAATAGTCTAAAACACTCAGATTAATAGTCTTTAAGCACTCATAAAAATAGTCTAAAACATTTAGATTAATAGTCTTAAAACACTCAGACTAATAGTCTATAAACACTCTGATTTATAATATAAATACACTCAGATTAATAGTCTAAAACACTAAGTTTAATAATCTTAAAACACTCAGACTTATAGTCTGAATACACTCAGATTAATAGTCTAAAACACTCAGATCAATAGTCTATAAACATTCAGATTAATAGTATGAAAACACACAGATTAATAGTTTTAAAACACTCGGATAAATAGTCTATAAACACTCAGATTAAAAGTCTGAAACACTGAGATTAATAGTCTTAAACACTTATGTTAATAATCTATAAACACTCAGATTAATAGTCTAAAAACACTCAGATTAATAGTCTATAAACACTCGGATTAATAGTATAAAAACATTCAGATTAATAGTCTTGCAACACTCGGATAAATAGTCTATAAACTCTCAGATTAATAGTCTATAAACAATTCGACAAATAGTCTAAAACACTCAGCTTAATAGTCTGAAACACTCAGATTAATAGTCTAAAACACTCAGACCAATAGTCTATAAACACTCAGAATAATAGTCTATAAACTCTCAGATTAATAGTCTATAAACAATTCGACAAATAGTCTAAAACACTCAGATTAATAGTCTAAAACACTCAGACTAATAGTCTATAAACACTCAGAATAATAGTCTATAAACTCTCAGATTAATAGTCTATAAACAATTCGACAAATAGTCTAAAACACTCAGCTTAATAGTCTAAAACACTCAGATTAATAGTCTAAAACACTCAGACCAATAGTCTATAAACACTCAGAATAATAGTCTATAAACTCTCAGATTAATAGTCTATAAACAATTCGACAAATAGTCTAAAACACTCAGATTAATAGTCTAAAACACTCAGACTAATAGTCTATAAACACTCAGAATAATAGTCTATAAACTCTCAGATTAATAGTCTATAAACAATTCGACAAATAGTCTAAAACACTCAGCTTAATAGTCTAAAAACACTCAGATTAATAGTCTATAAACACTTGGATTAATAGTATAAAAACATTCAGATTAATAGTCTTAAATCACTCGGATAAATAGTCTATAAACACTCAGATTAAAAGTCTGAAACACTGAGATTAATAGTATTAAACACTCATGTAAATAATTTATAAACACTCAGATTAATAGTCTAAAAACGCTCAGATTAATAGTATAATCACAGAGACTAATAGTCTAAAACACTCAGCTTAATATACTAAAAACACTCAGACTAATAGTCTAAAACACTCAGCTTAAAAGTCTAAAAACACTCAGACTAATAGTCTATAAACACTCGGATTAATAGTCTGAAACAGTCAGATTAATTGTCTCAAACACACAGACTAATAGTCTATAAACACTCAGAATAATAGTCTATAAACACTAAGACTTCTAGTCTATAAACACTCAGATTTATAGTATAAATACACTCAGATTGATAGTCTAAAACACTCAGCTTAATTGTCTATAAACACTCAGACTAATAGTCTATAAACACTCGGATTAATAGTCTGAAACAGTCAGATTAATTGTCTCAAACACACAGACTAATAGTCTATAAACACTCAGAATAATAGTCTATAAACACTAAGACTTCTAGTCTATAAACACTCAGATTTATAGTATAAATACACTCAGATTGATAGTCTTAAAACACTCAGATTAATAATCCAAAAACACTCGGACTAATAGTCTAAATACACTCAGAATAATAGTCTATAAACACTCAGATTAATAGTCTATAAACACTAAGACTTCTAGTCTATAAACACTCAGATTTATAGTATAAATACACTCAGATTGATAGTCTAAAAACACTCAGATTAATAATCCAAAAACACTCAGACTAATAGTCTAAATACACTCAGAATAATAGTCTATAAACTCTCAAATTAATAGTCTATAAACTATTCGACAAATAGTCTAAAACACTCAGATTAATACTATAAAAACATTCAGATTAATAGTATGAAAAAACACAGATTAATAGTCTTAAAACATTCGGATAAATAGTCTATAAACACGCAGATTAAAAGTCTGGAACACTCAGATTAATAGTGTATAAACACTCAGACTAAAAGTCTATAAGCACTCAGATTAATAGTCTAAAACATTTATATTAATATTCTTAAAACACTCACATTTATAGTATAAATACACTCAGACTAATAGTCTATAAACACTCAGACTTATAATCTAAAACACTCAGATAAATAGTCTATAAACACTCAGATTAATAGTATAAACACTGAGACTAAAAGTCTAAAACACTCAGCATAATAGTCTAAAAACACTCAGACTAATAGTCTATAAACACTCGGATTAATAGTCTGAAACACTCATGTTAATAGTCTAAAAACACTCAGATTAATAGTCTATAAACACTAAGACTTCTAGTCTATAAACACTCAGATTTATAGTATAAATACACTCGAGATTGATTGTCTAAAAACACTCAGATTAATAATCCAAAAACACTCAGACTAATAGTCTAAATACACTAAGAATAATAGTCTAAAAATACTCATACCAATAGTCTGAAACACTCAGATTAATAGTCTATAAGCACTCATAATAATAGTCTCAAACATTTAGATTTATATTCTTAAAACACTCAAACTAATAGTCTATAAACACTTAGATTAATAGTCTAAATAGACTCAGATTTATAGTCTAAAAACACTCATACCAATAGTCTGAAACACTCAGATTAATAGTATATAAGCACTCATAATAATAGTCTCAAACATTTAGATTAATAGTCTTAAAACACTCAAACTAATAGTCTATAAACACTCAGATTAATTGTCTAAAACACTCAGACTAATAGTATATAAGCACTCAGATTAATAATTAAAAACGTTTAGATTAATAGTCTTAAAACACTCAGATTTATAGTATAAATACACTCAGACTAATAGTATATAAACACTCAGATTAATAGTCTAAAACACTCAGATTAATAGTCTATAAACACGCAGACTTATAGTCTAAATACACTCAGATTAATAGTCTAAAAACACTCATACCAATAGTCTAAAACACTCAGATTAATAGTCTTAAAACACTCAGACTAATAGTCTATAAGCACTCAGATTAATTGTCTAAAACATTTAGATTAATAGTCTTAAAACACTCAGATTATTAGTCTAAAAACACTCAGATTAATAGTTTGAAAACATTCAAAATTAAAAATCTATAAACACTATAAATACAAGACAATAAAACAATAAATGTTCTAACAATTTTTACAGAGTGTGTCCTGGTGATATTGTGAAAATTTCGGATGCAGCCTTTTCCTGGAGCCTGTTCCCAGATGAGTACATGTATGATTCTGAACGAGAACGATGGCTTCCGGTGCGATGGATGGCCCAGGACTGTCACCAGTTTGGATTCTACAGTACAGCTACAGACGTGGTAGGTCAAACACTAAAGACATGGTAGATCATACACTACAGACATGGTAGATCATACACTAGGTAGATCATACACTACAGACATGATAAATCTTACACTACAGACATGATAGATCATACACTACAGACCTGGTAGATCATGTAGTTTATACACTACAGACATGGTATATCATACACTAGAGACATGGTAGATCATACACTACAGAGATGGTAGATCATACACTACAGACATGATAAATCTTACACTACAGACATGATAGATCATACACTACAGACATGTTAGATCATACACTACAGACGTGGTAGACCATCCACTACAGACATGGTAGGTCAAACACTACAGACAAGATAGATCAAAAACTACAGACATGATAGATTATACACTACAGACATAGGATATCATACACTACAGACGTGGTAGATCATACACTACACACATGATAGATCAATACACTACAGACATGATAGATCATACACTACAGACATAGTATATCATACACTACAGACGTGGTATATCATACACTACAGACATGATAGATTATACACTACAGACATAGTATATCATACACTACAGACGTGGTATATCATACACTACAGACATGATAGATCATTCACTACAGACATGGTAGATCATACACTAGGTAGATCATACACTACAGACATGATAGATCTTACTCTACAGACATGATAAATCTTACACTACAGACATGATAGATCATACACTCCAGACATGGTAGATCATACACTACATACGTGGTAAGTCAAACACTACAGACATGGAAGATCATACACTACAGACATGGAAGGTCAAACACTACAGACAAGATCGATCAACCACTACCGACATGATAGATTATACACTACAGACATGTAGATCATACACTACAGACGTGGTAGGTCAAACACTAAAGACATGGGAGATCATACACTACAGACATGCTAAATCATACACTATCGACATGGTGAATCATACACTACAGACATGGTGAATCATACACTACAGACATGATAGATCATACACTACAGACCTGGTAGATCATGTAGTTTATACACTACAGACATGGTATATCATATACTACAGACATGGTAGATCATACACTAGGTAGATCATACACTACAGACATGATAAATCTTACACTACAGACATGATAGATCATACACTCCAGACATGGTAGATCATACACTACATACGTGGTAAGTCAAACACTACAGACATGGAAGATCATACACTACAGACATGGAAGGTCAAACACTACAGACAAGATCGATCAACCACTACCGACATGATAGATTATACACTACAGACATGGTAGATCATACGCTACAGATATGGTAGATCATACACTACAGACATGGTAGGTCAAACACTACAGACATGATAGATTATACACTACAGACATAGTATATCATACACTACAGACGTGGTAGATCATACACTACAGACATGGTATATCATACACTACAAACATGGTAGATCATACACTACAGACATGGTATATCATACACTACAAACATGGTAGATCATACACTACAGACATGATAGATCATACACTACAGACATGGTATTTTATACAATACAGACATGGTATATCATATACTACAGACATGGTAGATCATACACTACACACATGATAGATCATACACTACAGACCTTGTAGATCATACACTACAGACATGGTATAGGTCATACACTACAGACATAGTATATAATACACTACAGACATTGAAGGTCATACACTAACGACATGATAGATCATACACTACAGACATGGTGAATCATACACTACAGACATGGTAGTTTATACACTACAGACATGGTATATCATATACTACAGACATGGTAGATCATACACTACACACATGATAGATCATACACTACAGACCTTGTAGATCATACACTACAGACATGGTATAGGTCATACACTACAGACATAGGATATAATACACTACAGACATTGAAGGTCATACACTACAGACATGGTATAGGTCATACACTACAGACATAGTATATAATACACTACAGACATTGAAGGTCATACACTAACGACATGATAGATCATACACTACAGACATTGAAGGTCATACACTAACGACATGATAGATCATACACTACAGACATGGTAGATCATACTCTACAAACATGGTAGATCATACACTACAGACATGGTAAATCATACACTACAGACATGGTTAATCATACAATACAGACCTGGTAGATCATACACTACAGACATAGTATATATTTTAATACACTAAAACATTGAAGGTCATACACTACCGACATGATAGATCATACACTACCGACATGGTTAATCATACACTACAGACCTGGTAGCTCATACACTACAGACATATTATATAATACACTACAAACATTGAAGGTCATACACTACCGACATGATAGATCTTACACTACAGACATGGTAGATCATACACTACAGGCGAGGTAGATCATACATTACAGACATGGTAAATCATACACTACAGACATGGTTAATCATACACTACAGACCTGGTAGATCATACACTACAGACATAGTATATAATACACTACAAACATTGAAGGTCATACACTACCGACATGATAGATCATACACTACAGACATGGTAGATCATACACTACAGGCGTGGTAGATCATACATTACAGACATGGTAAATCATACACTACAGACATGGTTAATCATACAATACAGACCTGGTAGATCATACACTACAGACATAGTATATAATACACTACAAACATTGAAGGTCATACACTACCGACATGATAGATCATACACTACAGACATGGTAGATCATACACTACAGGCGTGGTAGATCATACACTACTGACATGGTAGATCATACACTACAGACGTGGTAGATCATACACTACAGACTTGGTAGATCATACACTACAGACATAGAATATAATACACTTCAGACATTGAAGGTCATACACTAACGACATGATAGATCAAACACTACACACATGATAGATCATACACTACAGACGTGGTAAATCATACACTACAGTCTTGGTAGATCATACACTACAGACATGATAGATCATACACTACAGACGTGGTAAATCATACACTACAGACATGGTAAATCATACACTACTGACATGGTAGATCATACACTACACACGTGGTAGATCATACACTACAGACTTGGTAGATCATACACTACAGACATATAATATAATACACTTCAGACATTGAAGGTCATACACTAACGACATGATAGATCATACGCTACACACATGATAGATCATACACTACGCACATGATAGATCATACACTACACACATGATACCTGGTAGATCATACACTACAGACATAGTATATAATACACTTCAGACATTGAAGGTCATACACCAACGACATGATAGATCATACACTACACACATGATAGATCACTGGTAGATCATACACTACAGACATAGAATATAATACCCTTCAGACATTGAAGGTCATACACTAACGACATGATAGATCAAACACTACACACATGATAGATCATACACTACACACATGATACCTGGTAGATCATACACTACAGACATAGAATATAATACACTTCTGACATTGAAGGTCATACACTAACGACATGATAGATCATACACTACTCACATGATAGATCATACACTACACACATGATACCTGGTAGATCATACACTACAGACATAGTATATAATACACTTCAGACATTGAAGGTCATACACCAACGACATGATAGATCATACACTACACACATGATACCTGGTAGATCATACACTACAGACATAGAATATAATACCCTTCAGACATTGAAGGTCATACACTAACGACATGATAGATCAAACACTACACACATGATAGATCATACACTACGCACATGATAGATCATACACTACACACATGATAGATCAAACACTACAGACAAGATAGATCAAACCCTACAGTCATGATAGATCATACACTACACACATGATAGATCATCTACAGACCTGGTAGATCATACACTACAGACATAGTATATAATACACTACAAACATTGAAGGTCATACACTACCGACATGATAGATCATACACTACAGACATTGAAGGTCATACACTACAGACATGGTATAGGTCATACACTACAGACATAGTATATAATACACTTCAGACATTGAAGGTCATACACTAACGACATGATAGATCATACGCTACACACATGATAGATCATACACTACGCACATGATAGATCATACACTACACACATGATAGATCAAACACTACAGACAAGATAGATCAAACCCTACAGTCATGATAGATCATACACTACAGACGTGGTAAATCATACACTACAGACATGGTTAATCATACACTACAGACCTGGTAGCTCATACACTACAGACATATTATATAATACACTACAAACATTGAAGGTCATACACTACCGACATGATAGATCATACACTACAGACATTGAAGGTAATACACTAACGACATGATAGATCATACACTACACACATGATACCTGGTAGATCATACACTACAGACATAGTATATAATACACTACAGACTTGGTAGATCATACACTACAGACATGATAGATCATACACTGATCATACACTACAGACATAGAATATAATACCCTTCAGACATTGAAGGTCATACACTAACGACATGATAGATCAAACACTACACACATGATAGATCATACACTACGCACATGATAGATCATACACTACACACATGATACCTGGTAGATCATACACTACAGACATAGAATATAATACCCTTCAGACATTGAAGGTCATACACTAACGACATGATAGATCATACGCTACACACATGATAGATCATACACTACACACATGATAGATCAAACACTACAGACAAGATAGATCAAACCCTACAGTCATGATAGATCATACACTACACACATGATACCTGGTAGATCATACACTACAGACATAGTATATAATACACTTCAGACATTGAAGGTCATACACTAACGACATGATAGATCAAACACTACCCACATGATAGATCATACACTACAGACAAGATAGATCATCCACTACAGACATGATAGATCATACACTGATCATACACTACAGACATAGAATATAATACACTTCTGACATTGAAGGTCATACACTAACGACATGATAGATCATACACTACAGACATGGTAGATCATACACTACAGACTTGGTAGATCATACACTACAGACATGTTATATACTACACTACATGTCAACATGATTGGAGTTAATCACAGATGTGTCAGTTCACTTACGTTCCTTTACCTTGTGCTATATCCCAGAGTGACTTTGACTCATTATGTTTGAATTTTAATTGTCAAATAGTGTTTTAAAAAGAATTATGTAATATAGCTTGAAATATTTTAGATAATACAATAGAATATGACGTGTGTTTTTAATGCAAAACACAGATTTCTGAAGTCATTTCAATTGATTTGATGACTTTCATTTGCCCTGCTCTGAGTGGCTAAATAGACCTATTGTATGCAATATTGTATTTCCAATTGCTTACTGCTCATCTGTTTATTGCAGGTTTAGTAACACTTTGTTGAATGTAACTTCTCATACAGTTCATTTACCTCTCATACCCTTTGACTTAACATATAGAATTATAACATGCACAGTTCAGGGAACTAAGAAAATAAGTGGGTGTTAGGATTTTTAGCTCACATGGCCCGATGGGCCAAGTGAGCTTATGCCGTGGCCTGTGCATGGCATCAAGATTTACTTTAAACAACTTCTTCTTAATAACCAAAAGGCCTAGGTTGACGATATTTTGCCAGAAGTAAACTGGGTTGAAGAGCTACCAAGCTTGTTCAAATAATTACCTTTGCCCGTATTTAAGGTCACAGGGGTCAAATATCTTAACATGAGGCCCAAGGGCCTTAGCGGTCACCTGAGTTATATTATAGGTACTAGTAGCTCAATTTCATTGTTGAGATGTACAAAATGTGGAAAACAACACGTAAACAAAGTGAAATACAATACTTGTCATGTCACCAAAGGATAAAAACTTTAAAAACTATTCAAATAAATTATTTAACTTTTAACCATAATCCCCATTTGGGCCCCTTGCAACCCTTCAGCCCCTGGGGATGGGGCAGGATCTTATTTTCTCATACCAACTAATTGCCATCTGGCATCATAATCATTCCAACCAAGTTTGAATACATCTGTCAGTCTGAAGAAGAAGATTTTTGAAATATTGGTTAATTTTCCCTTTGGGGCCCCGTCCTGGACCCTGGGGTTGGGGCAGGAATCACGATTTTACAATTTGATACCATCTTCCTCCAAGAATGATTCTTACCAAGTAAGAATAATTTCCTGCTGAAAATGGACAAAATATACCCAAAAGTTTTTCCCTATATAAACTACAGTAAACTTTATATACCCCCTCCCAAAGGGAGAACGGATGGCCCGGGGTTACTGAAATTCACAATTGAAATAAAGACCCGATGATCTTTCCATCCATGCAGAGAAATTGACTGTTGTACCTCTGAGTCTGGAGGAGAAGATTTTTGAAATATTGGTTACTTTTCCCTTTGGGGCCCTGCCCCGGCCCCTGGGGTTTGGGTAGGTATCCCAATTTTACAATTTTGTAGCCTCATCTACCAAGGATGATTCTGACCAAGTTTGAAAAAATTCCATCAAATGGTTCTTGAGAAGAAGTATAAAATGTAAAAAGTTTACGCACGACGGAGGATACACGACTTTAAACGACTTCTAAATTATCAGAATGCCCAGGATGATGATATTTGGCCAAATTAGCATGCTGGGATGAAAGGCTACCAAGTTTGTTCAAAGTTACAGGGGTCAAATATGTTAAAATCTTTATCGACTTCTTCTGTGAATAACCAAAATGCCCAGGGTGATGATATTTCACCAGTAGCATGCATGGTTACAGGACTACCAAATATGTTCAAATGAATGACCTTCACTTACATTCAAGGTCACAGGGTTTAATCGTCTTAAAAACCCTTTAAACAATTGCTTCTGAATAACCGTAAGGACCAGGATAGAGATCTAGCCAGTAGCATACTAGGACAAAGGGCTGCCAAGTTTGTTAAAATAAATGACCTTCACTCATCATATTCAAGGTCACAGGAGTCAAATTTGTTAAAAAAATCTTGAAACAACTTCTGAAAACTAAAAGGTGTAGAATGATGATATTTGGCCAGTAAAATGCTTCGATGAAGGGCTACTCAGTTTGTTCAAATGAATGACCTTGACTGGTATTCAAGGTCACAGACATCAACCATGTTTAAACATTAAAGACTTATTATACGCCCGTCAAAATTTGACAGGTGTATGTATTATGGTATAGCGTTTGTGTCTGGTTAAGGTTAAGGTTTAGCTGCAAGTTTCTTCAGTGGTCTACAGTTCAGTCAAATCATGTGCTATTGTCCTAATTTTTGGCATGGATGTTCATGTGGGGTCTAAGAAGGACGATATGGATTTAATTTGGGAAAATGATTTCTAATTTTGGAAATTTTGGACATGTTTGGGACTTGACTTTTTTTGCACAATTTCTCGGTTAAAGTTTTGGTGAGAGTTTCTTCAGTGGTGTACAGTTCAGTCAGATAGTGTATTATTGTCCTAAACTTTGGCATGGATGTTCATGTGGGTCTAACAAGGACAATATGGATTTAGTTGAACAAACAAAAAATCATTGCAATGGGTCAGACTATTATTATTATTAGTCTAGTTTTGAATAACCATAAGGCCTAGAATGTTGTTATCTGGCCAGTAGCTAAATTTGCTAGGGTAAAGGGCTACCAAATTTGTTAAAATGAATGACCTTGACTTATATTCAAGGTCACAGGGGTTAAATTTGTTTAAAATCTTTAAACACCTTCTGAATAACCATATATGAGGCCAAGAAAGTTGATATTCGGCCAGTAGCATGCTTGAATGAAGGGATATCAAGTCATTTGAATGACCTTGACCCTCTTTTAAGATCACATTTGGTCAAATATGTATAAACCTTTTAATGACCTAATCTCAATAAACAAAAGGTCTCGGGTGGTGATATTGGCAAGTTGCATGCTGAGATGAAGGGCTAAAAAGTTTGTTCAATGTAATGACTTTGTTCGACTTTCAAGGTCACAGGGGTCAAATCTTTTAACAGGTTCTTCTGAATGACTTTAGTCTGAAATAAATACTGATATTTTGCCTGAAGCTATATTTCAGATCACTTTTAAGGTTACAAGTGTGAGATTAAAACCGGAGGTGATTGATGCAGGCTCATTGGGCCTCTTGTTGATGAAACTTGCTCAGAAAAGTGCTGAATTACCTGCATGGTTAAAATCATCCTGATGCTTGTAGCAGGATGTTAACAATCACCCTGATGCTTGTAACAGTATGTTAACAATCACCCTGATGCTTGTAGCAGTATGTTAACAATCACCTTGATGCTTGTAGCAGAATGTTAACAATCACCCTGATGCTAATTGTAGCAAAATGTTAACAATCACCCTGATGCTTGTAGCAGAATGTTAACAATCACCTTGATGCTTGTAGCAGAATGTTAACAATCACCCTGATGCTTGTAGCAGAATGTTAACAATCACCCTGATGCTAATTGTAGCAGTATGTTAACTATCACCCTGATGCTTGTAACAGAATGTTAACAATCACCCTGATGCTAATTGTAGCAGTATGTTAACAATCACCCTGATGCTTGTAACAGATTGTTAAAATCACCCTGATGCTTGTAGCAGTATGTTAACAATCACCCTGATGCTAATTGTAGCAGTATGTTAACAATCACCCTGATGCTTGTAGCAGGATGTTAACAATCACCCTGATGCTTGTAGCAGTATGTTAACAATCACCCTGATGCTTGTAGCAGAATGTTAACAATCACCCTGATGCTTGTAGCAGGATGTTTGTAGCAGAATGTTAACAATCACCCTGATGCTTGTAGCAGAATGTTAACAAGCTAAGACATAATAGTCTTATGATGTGTAAAAAAGTAAAAACATTTCCTTGGAAAATGTCAAAAAGACGGAATTAATAGGAGTTGAATGATTCCTCTTTATACAGCAAAAGAGAAAACTACAGATAAACATTTTATGAATGCAGGCCCTTTTGGCCTCAAGTTGTTTGACTGATTGATGATTTGATCAGTATTAGGTCCTTATCTCTATCTATCTATATATTATACGTACTCCACAGAGACCAAAATGGTTTTAATGCTTTATCTATTTCAGTGGTCATACGGTGTATTGATGTGGGAGGTGATGTCCCGTGGTGTTTTGCTGCCCTACTTCGACATCGAAAAAAATGAGGATATAAAAGATCATGTTATAAGTGGCTTTCGTCTCGGAAAACCTGAAACTGTACCTGATGAAATGTAAGTTAGTACTAAGACCAGTTGTTGTCAAAACAGCAAACAAACAAAGAAAACAAAAACAATCATGTTATCAGTGCTTATCAAAATCACAAGGACATAGCAAAAATTCATTTCATCAGTGGTTATCAAAATAGCAAGGACATTATAAAAAATCATGTTAGCAGTGGCTAACATTGCAGAAAACTTAAAGGTACTTAGACTTGTCTGTATTAAAAACCATGAACATGTTCCTCCAGATTTTAATCTTACAGTTATTCAGTATTTTCAGGCCTGTCTTGGCGAGAGCCGAGCGGCTTATTAATTCTGTCCAGAGAACGAAATGACGGACCCACTTCCGTTTGGGATGATTGCGCATATTTCAGTCTTCCGCTATATAGTTTCGTTATCGTAAATAGAAAGTAGAATCTCTTGACACTCGCCTGTGGGTTACATAAAGTCTTCTGATACTCTTCTCCAAATAATAATCCATACTTTTAATAATTGCTGAAAACAAAATGTTTATCTCCGTCGCATTCTACGAGTGTTGTGGTGGTGAAATTCGTGTACTAGGTTTGAGCGTTTTAGCAACTCGGATTGAGGTCTGAGGAGGTTTATGCGTGTGAAACACATCATGCGAGAAAGCACACGTGAAGACTGTCAAGCATTGACGCTGTCCATAGAAGGAAGAAGTAAATATATATATACTTATAAACCGTAAAAATAAGTGATGGAGTATAACCTCTGTTTTGATGTTTCAAACAGGAACGTAATATAACATATAGTGCTTAGGTTGATAACGGTAATGGCTCTGAGACGAGACGATATGTGAACTGTGTATGCTTATCAAACATTTCTTTAACAAAGCATATTATTTCTGGTTTATTTATTTATGAAAATGTAACAACTTAATAACATGACACAACTGCCGCTGCTGTTTGACAAGAATTTGCGCCGTGTCAAAATATTATCCAATCCGGTGTAAGGGAAATAACTCTTACGTTGGTAAAGTCGCATTGAGAAATATAATTCCAATATATTCCAAGAACATTTGTGAGATTTTGTGAGATTTTGTATATTCAATGACACTAAATAAAGACACTACATATATTAATAATTATTATTAATATGAATAAAAAATAAATAAAAATAAAAGGAGAACAATGTCTCTTTTTTTTCTCCATGCATGCTTTCCCACTTCTGTTAATTATCCTTCATTTAACAAGCACAAAATGCACCTATTCTTTATTATCCATTCACCAATTGCCATTCTTCACGTAAATGCTCATGTCACATCATTGGAGGATGCTTATGAATGAAAATTACAACAATGCGTCGCACTTAAAGAGGGTAAAAAAGGAGGAGAGGGAGAAATGTTTTTAAGGCATCATTTAAGAGGTGATCAATTTTGGAAATCCCAAAGGCAACATCATCACACCTGATTTTCAATTAGCAGAATACAGAACACATACCTGAGTTATTATAGTAAATATTGATGCTCAACGTGTTACTGAAGCAATTAAATTTAAAGTGGTGAGCGGCTTTAATGTCACACTGACATAATTCTAGTTTGGCTCTAAGACAAGTTTTTAGCTCACCTGGTCTGAAAGACCATGATGAGCTTATGCCATACCGCAGCGTCCGTCATCCGTCCGTCTGTCGTCCGTCAACTTTTCCTTTAAAACGCCACTATAGTCCTGAACAGCCAAGTAGATTTTGACTAAATTTTGACTGGAGCGTCCTTGGACCAAGGGAACAAAATTTTGTATAAACAGTGGGTGTGGCCCCCTTAGGGGCAGTGAGCGGGGTCGAATAGGGAAAATAGAGGTAAAACCTTTAATATCCTTCTTCTGCCATAGGGATTAAGGGATTTTATCCTAATTTAGTCTGGAGTATGCTTGGGCCAAGGGGACACAATTTTGTATAAACAGTGGGTGTGGCCCCCTTGGGGGAAGAGGTGCGAGGCCAAATAATGGAAATAAAGGTAAAACCTTTAAAATCCTTCTTCTACCATAGGGATTAAGGGATTTTATTCTTATTTAGTCTGGAACATCTTTGGTCAAAAGGGACTCAATTTTGTATAAACAGTGAGTGTGGCCCCCCTGGGGGCAGAGGGGCGGGCCCAATAGGGAAAAAGAGCAAATTCTTCAAAATCCTTCTGCTTCTGTAGGAATGACAGGATTTTGTCCAAATTTGGTATGAACGGTTGGCCTGACCCGTTGGCCTGACCCCTCCTGGGGGCAGAGAGGCGGGCCCAATAAGGGATATATAGGAATAGCATTTAATATCCTTTTTCTTTATGGGATGGAGGTATTTTGACCAAATTTTAATAGTAGCATCCTATGGGGAAGGGAAATCAATTTTGTATAAATGGTGAGTCTGACCCCACTTGGGCCTGAGGGGTTGGGCCCAAAAGGGGTAATTTAGTATATTCTTTAAATTTCTACTTCTTCTGTAGGAATGACAGGATTTTATCCATATTTGGTCTAAAGCATCCTTTGGTGATGGGGACTATATTTTGTATAAACTTTGGGTCTGACCTTCTGGGGCAGAGGGGTGGGGCCCAATAGGGGAAACATAGCAAATTCTTAAAATTACTTCTTCTTTTGTAGGAATGACAGTATTCTGTCCAAATTTGGGACGAATTAGCACCCTTGGGTGAAGGGGAACCAATTTTGTATAAACTGTGGGTTTTAACAGAGGGGTGGGGCCAAATAGGGAAAATAGAAAAATAGCTTTGAAGTCCTTCTTCTTCTGTAGGAATGACAGGATTATGTCCATATTTGGTCTAAAGCATCCTTGGGTAAAGGGGAACTCTTGTTTGTCATCTCACTGCTCTTCATGGTGAACATGTGATTGTACAACACTAAGCTATAGAAAATAAAGTCTATCTCTCTATCAGAACTAGGTTAAAAAAAGGTGTCTGAATAGACATATACTGTATAGCTGATTTTTAGCTTACCTGCCCGAAGGGCAAGTGAGCTTATGTCATTTTGCGTCGTCCGTCGTCCGTCCGTTGTCTGTCCGTCATCCATCAACTTTTCCTTTAAACAACTTCTTCTGAAGAATGGAGAGCGTATAGCCATGCTATTTAACTGAAAGCTTTGTTGGTAGGAGCCTGACAAAGTTTGAGAAGGGAAATGACCTTGACCTTATTTCAAGGTGACAGGGGTCAAATGTGTCAAACACTTCAAACAACTTCTGAAGAACTGAAAGGTATGGAATCTTCATATTCGGCTGGTGGCTTCCTGGGATAGAGCCTGACAAATTTGGTGAATAAAAATGACCTTGACCTACTTTCAGGTCACAGGTCAAATGTGTGAAACGGTTTAAAGGACTTCTTCTGAAGAACTGAAAGGTATAGAATCCTCATATTTGGCTGGATGCTTCTTGGGATAGAGCCCGACAAAGTTTTAAAAAGAAAATGACCTTGACCTTCTAACAGGGATGGAGTGACAAAGTTTGCGAGTGAAATATTTGTAGTACAGGATAATATTTAATGAGAATATTTTTCTGACTGCTTAAATATTCAGGTGAGCGATACAGGCCCTATTGTTTAGTTACATTTGGTGATGTGACTTAAAACTGAATGTGGAAAGTTAAAGTTAAATTTTTGGTGCTTTAAAATTTGGCAATCTGTTATAAACTCAACGGTTTCAATTTTGCACTTACTATGGTAAACCTGCTGATTTATTTCCACCCAAATTAACTGGAAAAATCAAAACGGCTCACTGTATATATATATATGATTATTGTGCCTGTCAGAGTTCAAATGTTGGCGAACTTGGCGTATTCAAGCCCTGCTGAATTGACCACCATATATATCTGGTGGCAGTCAATATAAGAAAAATTAAATAGAAAATATGGAACAAGGTTTTGGACAGAACCCTCTTCCTAGTTGTTGTATTATTTGTAATTAAATACAGGTATTATTTTGTTATAGAATGATTGTTATGCTCTGAAATAAGCTCAGGAATATTATACAAAAAGAACTTTGTTTTATTATTCAAAATTTATTAATGTTTCTTTACTAAGCAGATGAAATCAGAACTGAAATATTATCGTTAAATTGAAAAAAGTTACATAATTTTTTTTAAATAAAAACTTAATTTTGATGTATGGATTGTTTATGATTTTACGATCTAAAAAGAATTCTGTTGTTAAGTGAAAAGTATGATGTATTTATCAAGCCTGTTATCGTAACTTATTGATCATTACCACATTGTAAATCTGGGTTAAGGCACTCATCCTACGAAATTAATTGGTTGTAGGTACACCCTGATGATGTCTTGTTGGGAGACAAACCATAGCAAACGCCCTGCTTTTGTACGCATCATTGAACGTTTGATAGACATTCTGAATCCGCCAGAGTCTCCAACACTGATGTATCAGAACCAGCAGCATGAGGAGCTGCCCGAGTACGGAAATGTTCCAGATGACAGACCAAAGCTTCCCTCACGGGCCAATATGCCAGCAAAGAATGGCGATGTCAATTTCGGTTCTACGTAATAATTGAGATGAAATTGACTGTTGACAGAAAAACTTTGATACTTCTCAGCATCATGAGGACCAGCTATAGGCATAGTCATCATTGTAGGCAAGCAGCTTGTGAGAAGATCTGTCAGAGGATTAACTTCCAAACAAAACTTCATATATCTATATTACAAAATGTAATTAAAAAAAATGTGTGCCATACTAACTTCAAAAGTCTATGATGTGTGTATATAATGCAGTCAAATAAGCCATGTATATGATGTCTATACAGTCAGTGTGTGTAAGGTTCAAATATAGATGTGTCCAACAAGGTTTGGGTCTGCATGGTCAGTCAAATCAGCCAGTCCAGCAATATGTGTCTCCAGTCAAACCAAATATTCTCTTGGGTTTTTTCTTTCTTTTATGTGGGTTTTCCTGGTCTGGATAAAGACAAGATAAAAAATGAATAAATACTTGATAAAGACTTCAAAATCACTCAGTATATGTAATGTTAAAGATTGTGTGTATATTTTCTTAAATCTGAAAAAACAAATCTCCCACTTTACTGTCTTTTATTTGATAGCAAAATTACTCTAAAGTAGAGGGAATACAGATGTTCCCAGCTGAAATGTATTTCTGTTTTGAACCAGATAAAAAGAGCAAAATTACATTTCAAGTCCTGACAGTAGATATTGAAGGAATTCTAAAACCTGTAATTAGGGTCTTGTATCCCCATCCCAGTCTGAGGGGCTGCCGTCTTAGAGATGTAGAGTGAAACTCATGACTCATCTTCTGTATTCAATAGCATTAGGTGTTAAGAAAAAAATGTTTAGCATTCATTTGAAAAAAATATAACATTGCATGGATATTATTATTGTGCTTATCATTGTAATTAATGACTTGCAATTATTTGAGTGACAAAATATTTAAACAGAAAAATCTATTGTCTATTTTAAGAGCTAGTTTAACACATTGTATGTGCCAGCCTCTGGGGAAGAGTAGGATGAGCATCATCTTGTCCATATCTTTGTCCTTTAAACACACTATTTCTGTTCATCTGTATGTTTGTCCATCTCTCAACATTTGATTCGATTTCAGCTTCCTTGAGTGAAGTGTTAAGCCAAATATCATGAAACTTGATGTATTCCTGACATCAGTCTCTGGAGTAAAGTCAAAAGTCAAGGTTATATGTTTATGGTCAAGGTCACAGCTACACAATCTTTACATGAGGATGGTAAAATTGTATTTTTTGGCTTGTCCACAAGTTCCTGACTAAATTTTTAAAACATTTCATGACAATTCACAGAAGTTAATTCCTGATATCTCCCTTGAGACAATCGGAAGGCCTGAAGGTCATATATTCAAGGTCAGGGTCACAGATATGTTATCTTTACATGATGATGGAAAAATTAGATACTGCATGTACCAGTATTCTGCTTGTTTAATGATTTTCAACCATATTTTATGAAACTTCATACAATTATTCCTTGCACAGATACCTGGAGACCAGTTATAGGCCACATATTCAAGGTCTAAGCTACAGAATCTTTACATAAGATGGGAAACTTTCAACCAAATTCATAATCTCCATACTTTCAACCAAATTCATAATCTCCATACTTTCAATTACAGTTGTGGGTTGCACAACGTTACACTATGTACGCACCATGTGTGCACAGTGTGTGAACGATGTGTGCACAGTGTGTGAACGATGTGTGCACAGTGTGTGAATGATGTGTGCACCATGTGTGCACAGTGTGTGAACCATGTGTGCATCATGTGTGCACAGTGTGTGAATGATGTGTGCACCATGTGTGCACCATGTGTGCACAGTGTGTGAACCATGTGTGCACCATGTGTGCACAGTGTGTGAACGATGTATGCACCATGTGTGCACAGTGTATGAACGATGTGTGCACCATGTGTGAACCATGTGTGCACCATGTGTGCACCATGTGTGCACAGTGTGTGAATGATGTGTGCACGATGTGCGAATGATAAAAACTTGGACGATCATTGCTTGCGCACGATGGACGACTGTTGGGCGATTACAATCGTGGTCAGTGTAAATTGAGGAATGCCTTAACAACATATACAAGGTTTTTTTAAACAAATGAACTTGATGTTTAAGTATTTTTTCTATATTATAGCTACATATAAGCTATAAGCTTATCTTTCTGTTTATACTTTCTTTAATTCAGAAATTGTGTTTTCAGTGTTTTTTAAACGACCTTAATCAACACATGTAAAATTTCAACACAGTTACGTATACAGATAAACATAACCACTTTGTACGTGTACCTGGACCGTAGTTTTGCCCCACCCGGGGCACTTATATAACTCGTTGGATAGGGGGAGGTGGTTACAACCCAGGTGAAGGGAGCTATAGGCAAACCGACAGTCTAGCGGTTACTGTAATGCTGTATAACACGCATTGTAAAATTACACAAAATCTTAATTATTTTGGTGAGAAATAACAGTAATTTATACAGTGTACATTATTACATAGAGCCTTCCGTTATTTTTTCATTCCGTAATATTGATCTACAAATTGTACCAAATCGCACAGTTGTGCGGTGAGAAGCGCATAACGGAGCAAACGATTGTAAAATCGCACATTTGTACGCACCATGTGTGGACGATGTGCGGACGGTGTTTGAACGATGTATGCACGGTGTGCATATGCTATTTTCGATGCGTTGTGCGGTGACATAACTGTAACACCATAGCCTACTCTACATTGGTAAATACACATGCCAGCTTAATTTCACTCACTCTTCAAAAGCTTTAGTAGATTACCAACCTATCAATCTGACTCCAAAAATTATATTGGTGGGCTTACCGTCTGTTGTACTCTTGTTAAAGATAATTTGTTATTACAGTGACCTAGATCAATATTATGATACATACTGTTCTAAAGACTGAATATTAGAATTTTTACATAAAAGCACCACTAGATGGTATTGCATAATTCTAATTTGTCTTTCAAATGAAAAATTGACAAATATTGTTAAATTTGTGAAAATTGATATCTGTTATTTAGTATGTATTTTTTCTATTTGTTATATCTTTGAAGGTCATAGGGGTCAAATATGTTTAAACCTTTGAACTACTTCTTCTGAATAACTTAGACATATATGGTGATGATATATTGTCAGTAGCATGCTGTGATGTGGTGTGATAAACCTTCCTCATATAAATGACCTTCCAATAAATGACCTGACCTACTTTCAAGGTCAAAGGGGTCAAATATATAAAAACAAACTTTTAACCACTTCTTTTGAATAACCAGGAGGCCCTGGGTGATGATATTTGACCAGTAGCATGCTGGGATATAGAGGAATAAAGTTTAATTTAGTCTGAAAAATCCTAAGCCTAGGAGACTCCAATTTATGGAAAAATTTGCAAATTTACTCTTATTGAGAACATTTTTCCATTGCTCAAATATCCAGGTGAGCATACAGGCCTCTTGATTTCAAAATCTGCTCACCAGCGAGTACTCTAAATGTAAACAGACAAGCCTGCCTTATATGACGTGTAAAGCACACCGGTAAATATGTCTCCACAAATGTTAAATGATTTACGGTCATATGTACATTTCACTAAATGTTGTTCAGTGTCACTTTTCAGTTTATAAAATGTATCATGTGCATTGTGATATAGTACTGCACGATATTATGCATAATTAGTTAATTGAAATTTTATATTAATAATACCTATGTTAAATGTATACTAAAAATGGATACAAGTGTATATGCAGGGGATTGTTTTTATACATTATTTAGGTCAAGTTTTGCTGTGACTGTTTTAAAGTAAAGTGACAAAATCTCTTTTGTACTTGGCCTCAGACTACACATAATGCTTCCGTTTCCTTGTACGCGAATGTAGTGCATTTCTCACTTTTTTGACTCATTTTTAAATGAGTATGTCTTTTATGTGAGTGAAATGAAACTGTATGTTATATCAAAATGAAGCCTGATCTTTTCTCCTTTATTTAATGTGGTTGATTAGTTTTTGTGACTTTAGTGGAAGGATATGGTATGTTGTTGGGCCCCTGAGCATTTCAGGGTATCGTAGTACAACGGGGTTAGGTTGACATTATTTAACTAATATCTTGACAAAAAGATGGTCATGAATACTTTTCCAGCCCACCACAAATGTGTCTTGGATAGCTGAACAAAACCTATAAAGATCAGGTCTTCATAGAATTTGAAGCATGCTTTTTAAAAGGTTTGTCTTTGGAACCTTACTTGTGGTCCGGAGGCTGCATCTTAGTATTACAACAGGATTTAACTGACATTAACTTTAGTGTACTAATTCATGTTTAAAGGGATATTATCCATTTATAAAAGACTGTCTACAGCTTTTCTTGGCGTTGAACTATTTTAGGAAGCAGAGTCTTGTCACTGTATGGGTCGCTTTTATCATCAAATGTATTATGTGCTTGCCTGTAAAGTTTATAATATTCACCTCAAATATTTTTTAATAGTTTAAGTTCATGTGTATGTATATACTTACTGTGTAATGAAGTTTCATCCAGGGTTATATAACAATATGTTTGTATTAAAGTTGATTTCCTTTTGATCTATAATTGAAAATATACACATAAAAAGCTTTATTTAACAAATATAACTTTCTACTTCTGTGCTTGCCGTATAACAAGAATATTACAATTGAATCAAGCTGTTGAATTTCGTTTATCCCGGCCGTTTTACAGTTAGAGCACTATGTTGGTGATTCTGGTTTTTTTTTTTCATTTTGATAATTTTTTATAAAAGTTCTTCAATGTATGATTTCCTTTTCAGAAATAATTCATCAAAACTATAGTTTAAAAGAATGAAAAGTTATCAATGGTTAGGTACTGTTTTTGGCAGTGGTATATGTGGATCCCAAGCGTGTTTACAAAATGGCTGTCAGCACTGGCTGTGTAAATTAGTGCCAGATATTACTGAAATGCTGCTGCTATAAGATTATTGGTTAACAATTTTACACTCATGTCATATCAGTTATATCTTAAACTTTTTCTGTGGATGTATGCACCAGGAAAAACAAAAAAAAGGAACAATGATAGATTATATTTACCCTGATAGTGAAAAGAAGTAAAGAACTTTTGGCAATTCTACAAAGTTTGCAGCTGTATAATTAAGAAAAAATCAACACATGTGCTCGTATTATGGATGACTATATAATGTATATAATTTTTTCGACATTATCAAGTCCAGAGTTATACATTTCACCATAGTATATAAACATATGTTGATTATATCTATTTTACCGAGTAAAATGTAATCTACCTCTGTGTGAATGTTCCTACGCCTTTGATAACCAAGGTGACAGAGTATCTAATCATTTACATTAGGCTGTTTATTTAAATGACCTTGACACACTTTCAAGTTCACATCTGGCTAATAGTGTATATATCTTTAAAAGTTATCTTCTCAATAAAGAAAAGGTATAGGTTGCTGATATTTGGCAAGTTTCATTCTGGGATGAAAGGCTATAAAGTTTGTTCAACTTAATGTCCTTGTTTGACTTTCAAGGTCACAGGGGTCAAATGTATTGAAATCTTTTAACAGGTTCTTTTGAATGACTTTGAGTCAAGACACTCATATTTTGCCTGTAGCTTTATTTTAGTCCACTTATATAAGGTTACAACTGTGAGATTAATACCAGGTGAGCGATGCATGCCCATTGGGCCTCTTGTTTACTTCTTCTCCAAACTCACTTATTAAACCAATTTTAATAA